CCTCCTCCTCCTCCTCCTCCTCCTCCTCCTCTCCACAAACCCCACTTCCTTCTTGAACTGATGATGTTATCTAGTTGGGTAATGAAAAGTCTGCAAGAAAACCGCCAAGCTCAGAGAGCACCAAGGACCTCACCCTCCTCCTCCTCCTCCTCCTCCTCTTTCTCCTCCTCTCTGCAAACCCCATTTCTTTCTAGCGCTGATGATGTTCCCTATTTGGGTTGTGAAAGGTCTGCAAGAAAGCCACCAAGCTCAGAGAGCATCAAGGACCCCACAGTCTTCCTCCTCCTCTTCTCTACAAACCCCACTCCCTTCTAGCACTGAATATGTTACTTAGTTAGGTAATAAAATGTCTGCAACCAAGCTCAGAGAGCATCGATGACCCCACAGTTCTCCTCCTCCTCTTCCTTCTCCATCTCCATTTTTTATTCCAGCTCTTGACATGCCTCCCCATTTGTAGGACAGTGAATGATTCCACAACTGAAGCACAGCTCCCTCTACGCAGCCACAAAACCCACGGCATCGGGCATCCCATTACCTGGCGCCATACGAGGCAAGGCGTCTTTACCCAACCCTCCTCTTCCTCCCACTAACGCTGGAAGCCCGAGTCCCCTTGCGCCCGTGCCCGTGTTTTAGCGGCCTCTCGCTCCTTCCCTTCCCCTAAAGGTTTGTTTTTGCGGCCTTCTGTGTCTCCCCGAACAGCTGGGCGATCCTTCCATCTTCCCCGCGGTCATCGTGGAGCACGTGCCCAGCGCCAACCTCCTGAACAATTACTCCGGCTTGTCTTGCGTGGCGGAACCCAGCGACATGATAACCGAGAATTCCCTGGACGTGGCGGAGGAGGAGATTATAGAAGATGACGACATCACCCTTACAGGTGTGTGTGAAAAGGCATTCCGGGTGGAGACGGCGTGACTCAGCCGGGTGGGGTTTGAATCCGAGCCCCAGCGGTGGTTTGTCTTACTTTGGTTATCGTCTTTATTTGGGTATGTTCACTACCCAAACGGATATTCTGTACGGATAAAAGTGTGTAGAGATTCTCAGTCCTCCAGGTCCTGGTGGTCCCAAATGGGCTTTTTTTTCAGGAAGCAACTGGACTTCCTTGTTTTTTTCCTTTTGAAGATGTTCCCCTTCTCATCCAAGAAGCTTCTTCAGCTGACTGGATGGTGGGGAATGGAAGGATTTATATTCCTTGCAGNTGCAAATTCCAGACTTTGCGTGTTGTTGCTGGCCTAGCTCAAGGGTGCTACCCAGTGAGTAGGCAGTGCCCCCTTCTCTGCCAGCCTCTTGGTGGGAGGCCAAGCTAAAAGACTTTTAACGAAAGCCGATGAAAGCAGTGGAGAGAAGGCGAGAACAGCGTAGACTGACCCAACTACTCAGGAGGAGAGAGAGAGAGCCCGGCCTCTCTTCCCAAGGCACACCTGGGGACTGAGACTTAAGGAGAGGCTGTGGGGAGGGCCGTGTGTTGGGAACAAACGCTGAATCCGTGGAGTGTTGAGTGCTGACGTTTGAACTTTCCTAAATTCCTTCTTTATTTTGGGATTCTTGACTTGATTCCCGTTTTTCGGGAGTCTTCGACTCGCCTGCTGGATTTTCTGTTGCAACCGTGGGGGTCACAGTATCGGTCTGGGCTGAAGCTGCGCGAGAGGGATTTTCACTTTGTTCTGGGACTTACCAGAAACGGAGTATTTGGGGGGAATTTGGAGCAATAAAGGGGCAGTTTGAACTGCCAGCTGCCTTTGTTGCCTTTATGCCGTGCCCCGGGTCCTCACAGTTACGTCAGAGGGGGCTGTTTTGTCTTTAGATTTCTGGTGTTTTAAGGCTTTTTACATCGAATGAAAAACTGGAGGCCTCTATATAATGCTGCCTTTTCTCCCCCTGTCTACAAGTAATCCTCAACTTACGACCATAATTGAACCCTGTTGCTAAGCGAGACGGTTGTTAAATGAGTTTTACCCATGTTACGACCTTTCCGGTTGTTACGGTTGTTGAGTGAATCTCTGCAGTTGTGAAGTGACTAGCACGGTCGTTAAGTGAATCTGGCGTCTCCCATTGACTTGGCTCGTCAGAAGCTCGCAAAAGCAGATCACGTGACACCCCCCCCCCCGGTCGAGGGGACTTCAACCGTCATAAGTACATGCCGGGATTGGTTTAATTCTGTGGATTTTCCTTAATTGGAATTTAATCTATTATTTTGGCTTTAGTTGACTCTTGGCTGGGCTGTTACTAATTTAGTCATTTTACGAGCTCGACTTTTTATTTGTTTATAGAACTCTATAAATATTTGGCTTTGGGTGCTGTGTGTCGCCGGCTTGCTTTTAAAGAGGAATATTGTATTAATTAAGCCAAGATTTCTCTTCTGAAAAATTTGGGACAAACGAATTCAAATGAATTTGCCTCAAATCCACATTCTTGTCAAATCGCCGAGTTATTTGATTGGAGCGTTTGCTGAAATGACTACAGGACATTTTTCTGGAGTGACACGTCTCATTTGAGATGGGCCCTGTAATGACATATAGATGCCCTCAATGTATAGGTAGTCCTTGACTTATAACAGTTCGCTTAGTGACTGAAGTTACAATGGCATTGAAAAAAATGACTTTACGTCCATTTTTCACACTTACGACCATTGTACCATCCTCATGGTCACCTGGTCAAAATTCAGGTCCTTGCCAACTGACTTGTACTTATGACCGACAAAGTCAACGGGGAAGCCAGATTTAAGTTTAAATTATTCACTTAACAACCGTGGCAAGAGAAGTCTTAAAATGGGGCAAAACTCAACATCTGTCTCAGTTAGCGACCGAGGTTTGGTGGTCTCTGTTATTTTCGTAAGCCGAGGACTATATGTATTTTGGAAGCTCTGCTGTATCTATTGTCTGTAAGAGAAGATAGGATGGTAGGAACATAGGGGTTTTTCGGGCGTCAATTCCTTCTTAAACCGTCTCTTTTATCCCTATATAACTTCAGGGCTCCAATGATTTTAAATTTAATTAGCTCCATTTCTTACGGCTTTCAAGATTCCCTATTCAGTTGAGTTACTCTATAAAGGGAGTCCTCAACCAGTGGTGG